ATGTAATGGAATTTGTCAAGTTTAAAGTGGCTTTGTGAACAGAATGTGGTCACCTCCAGCCTCTGGCCGTGCAGTGACAGTAATGTGGTAGGGCAAAGTGAAGGACAGCAAATGTCAAGGTGCATTTGTGCGACTATGGTTGTTCTGAGCGGATCCTAGTTTCCACCAGCAGGAAACTGGTTGAGACTCCTGTTGGCTAGCTTTTCTTGAATACGTTGTTACAAATGAATATGTGTCAAACAACTGCTGTTATAAATGGAGTCAGGTATCAGCGAGTACACAAATCTATGTATCGGGCAGATACCACGTCTTTAAACTATATTAGCTCCACCCTGATGACACTGCAGTATTCTTTTCCCAGAAATCCCTTCTTCTTTTCTTCACCGCTCCAAAGAAGCAATTTTGCTACTGTGCCACTGGCAAGTATTGTTTTTAGAACTGCGAAGAAGAAGTGATTTCTGATAGTGTTGCATTAACCAGAGCTAGCTAAAATGTTCGCAATTTGCTAATTCTGGTATTGGATTGATTCTTGATACGCAAATCCAGGTATTGGAATTTGTATTGGAAAGGTCAACATTGGAACATCTCCAGTTATAAATCAATAACATTAGGTATGTTGACTAGTTTCTTCAGATTTAGCTGGGTCTGCCTGTGTTTTTAATGATGATGTTTATGTATAAACTTGATAAAACATGTTGAAACTCTCTCCTATCAGGACCAGAAAGATCTAATCCAAAAACACAGTCTTGAAATTTTATGGTAACGTCTTATCTGTTTGCCAAACCAATTTGTGGTCAGAAAGGCCTTTCATCCACATCAAAGACCTGCTGCTGCTCAACACATGTTGCTCTCACAAGCTGGGCTTTACATCCTCGCAATAATCACCTGCTAAATGTGGAAAAAACATCCTTCATTTGAGAGACGTTTTACATTTGAAGCAGTACCTTTGCCAGACTACATGTAAAGTTAGAGAATCTTAAGTACAACCCGACAGATGACAGAAAACGCATCAGGATTATAAACATCAGCTCGTCACATCTGAGCTTTAAATCACATGAATCCCTTCACTTTCTATCTCATACTTTGCTCCCAGTTATCCCAATCACCCAGTCTTTTTTCAGTTTCGATTTTTCTCAGCAGGAAAAGTGAAAGGAATAAATAAATGAACAAGTCGGGCTTGGATGCCTGGATTCTAACTGGGTGCTCTCATCAAAGCAAAAGTCTGTCTCTTACTGGAGCGTATTTACGACCTGCATGGGAGGGACAGAATTCCTGAGTTATTTTTATTCACAGGTTGGATATTTTTCTCTGGGAGTCCTCCTGATTATCTTCCTCTTGTGGGTCCCACAGGAAGAAAATGCTGAGCTGATACCACAGTTTTTGTCGGCAGCAGTTTAAAACTGAAGCGAAAGAGGAAGAGAAAAGAAAGAGGGAAAGGAAAAGAGGTGAGGGAGTGAGGAAGGCTGTTTGTCATGCTGTTCACAACTGAATGACAAAGCTCGGACGGTTCCAAGTTAGACACATTATTTTTCGATTAAGTGAGAAGGACCTCTTTCATCAGCTGCTCTATCAATGTATGAATGTGCTGACCTCTGCTTTTCACCACCACACCTGTTTCTATTCAGTGAAGCCAAATGTTCCACTCAGTGAAAAAAGCTTTCTCTTGAAAAGCAAATATGAAGATGAGAGTACACCCTCTTTTTAAATTGTTAGTTAGATGTTAATTAGCCCTTACCATGTTTGCCATGAATATTAGGCTCGGGTAGGAATTTCTCTGATCTTTATGGATCTCAGGGTGGGAGAGAAGTGTTCGGTCTCGATTCTCCGCTCCCTGCAGATGATGTGGTTCTCTTTACTTTTAGCTCAGATGTGACCTCGTGCACACACTGGGTTGATTTTGCAACCAATGGAGCACAGTGGATGAGAGTCAGCACCTTCGAATGTGAGGAAGTGGTTCTCTACTGGAAAACATTGAAGGACTCCCTCCAGTTTGGATGTGCGTCACTGCCTCAAGAAATTCAACTAGTCTTATTTTGTGTTGGTGGGTTGGTGAGGTGTCAATACTAGGTGTTATACCGAACCACTCTGGTAAAGAAGAAGGTTGAACTCTCGATATTTTGGCCTTACTACAAAACAGTCAATGGCCTGAAACTTTAAGAGACTAAAATAAACTGGGAAACAATTTGACAAAATTGAATGATGGCTAATAAAGAATGCCTCCTGGCATGTCCAATTTTTAGTAGAACGATCAGATAAGCCAGAAAAAAATCGTGGAGGGATTATGTCTTTAATCTGGTATGGGTGCTCCCAGATCTTTCTAGGGATTCTGAGGAGAGATGCAGGGGAGAGGGATTGGCTGCATAGGCTGCGGCTTAAATAACCCACAATCCTCAATAAGTAGTGGAAAATAGATGAATTCATTCAATCAGTAATTGATCCCATGAGTTACTTCATGACTTTATAAATTACCATATAGATTGTACATTCTCAGTCGTCATTATGTAGCAGTAGCAGATGGTTAATATGTGCTGATACAGACACTGATCTCATATTTGCATTTGGAATAAGACATTGACTGGCACATTCATTCGGAGTGAGTAGAAATTAGTGCAGTGCCAGTGATTACTTTTCATTAAAATAAGAGATTTATCTTAAATGGAAAACTCTGGATACAACATGAAAAACAACAATGAAAAATCATTAGGAGTAGAAGCCAGTATATGTGTACAGTACTGTACAGTATACTGTGTATTTGAATATATTTGTTGTGGAATCTTCCATTTTACTATAGCCTACTCTGATTGGCTGGGTTTCACGGTTTGGGTTTTCACATAATGTCTAAACTAACAGTGGCTTGGGTGGATTTAAATGAGGAGCTTCCACTGCTTTTATATTTGATAAGGTTACTGCTTGTGTTCTTGGCATTTAGAGGAGATGAAAACTTCGAGTCCATTGACAGGCCTGTTCTCCCATTATCAGGCGATAATTATGGTGAGTCATGGCACATTGATCTGCACCAATGATTAAGAGACGGTGAACAGAGAGAGGAGAGACTGGCAGCAAGCAGGCACTTTGTTCATAATTAACAGTGGTTTTGTAAGGGCACCACATGCTAATTAGTTAATATGCTAAATAATGGGCTGTATTGAAAATAAATGAATGCGTTGAGAGTCATTGATTTGTAACCATAGTTCATTATTCAGTGTGCAGCAAATAAACCTAATTGAAAAACATGAATTATGTGATCACGCAAAATGTACCCTGTTTATTGTCAGAAAAACTCTTAATTGCCATTATGTTTGAGACACAATGACGATGAAACAAATTCAAAATGCAGCATAACATCAAAATCATAATGAGTCATACATAACAGTCAATCATTTCAATTACCCAATCAGCCTTATTTTAATAAACCCAACAATTAATGATGTTTCCTCTTAATGTTTTAACTGTATGCAGGCCATTGAGGGTTTCCATTGAATCTCATAGAATAACCAAACATGAAGATATTTAGCTTTGAAGTCTGCAAGTATTTTCAATACAACTTAGTCAGACTTAACTGCAAAGTTTTCTTCACCTTTGGTCGATGATGACTCACTGGAATCCCTCCAGAACTGACTGGGACAATATCTCATTAGGAGCTTAATGATGGGCAACCTGTTTTTTCAGATTATTTCACACTGATAAAAATCTCTGCAGCTGGCTGGCCCTTGAGTAAACAATGTGATTGTCCAAAGTGGCGCTTCTCCTGTTGACTGCCTCCTTATACCTCTGTTTGTCCACCTTCTGCTGTCACTATTAAAGTTTAGCCTCTCTGGGGAAAGGTCTCTCTTGGGCTGCCGATCGCGTCAGACCGTGTGGTTATGGCTGACCAAATGATGTTTACCTCCGACACGTCCAGCCCTCTCAGTTGTTTGGTGGAAACACGTCTTTTAAGTGGGCCGGTATTGAAAGTCTAATCTGTTCTGTTTATGTAATTCCCTCAAATAAAAACTGAGTTGTTCTATGTGTGTAGTCTAAGGAGTGGTGATCAAATCAGTTCATGGATATTAATACATTTCTTGTCACGTTCAGTTTATTGAAGTTTTGAATGCATGTATATTCTAGGTGTTTAGTTGTGTGCCCCAACTCTCATCTAATGTCGGCAGGGATAGATCCCAGCCCTCTTGTGAAGGTCAAACCATGGATGGATGAAGGAGCCTGTTGTAACTCTGAGTTTAACATGTGTCTTATTTGTGAATCAACTGACGACAAGTGCTCTCTTTCTTTTTAACGGGTAATTGTCACTGGATCCAGAAGTGAAAACTAAGATTGCATTGTTTGTAGATGAGACTGTACTGTATAAGAAAGGCAAAAACTGCTGAACTGATTTCCATGAAACTTTTTGGATGGGTGGAGCGTGACCCAAGAAACAACCCATTAAATTTTAGAAAGAGCAGGTGAATGAAGTAATTACATTTTCCCTTTCTTTAAAATGAAGAGGTAAGGTGTTGGTGGAGGTATGCACTCTTCTAGTTCCAAACTAAATAAAGCTATAAAGTAAACAAGCTACTTTTTTATTAATTTATGATTAGTTGTTGTATGTAACATAACATGACATTATACATTACTTTATATGGCTGTATTGTCTCTGTATCTGTTAAGCTGTTAGAGGGATTGTTACTCTTCTAAACCTAAAGTATAACTGTGTGTGAATGTGCATGTGCGTCCTGTGTCGTCATTTGTATATTTAGCGTGTGCATCCGTCACAGACTTGTTAATCACTGCAGCCATCCGCAGCCTACTGTGAAATTATGATCTGTTTTTGATTTAACCTAGAAATATCATGCTAATCTGACTTGTTTTCTCATTATCTTCTCTCCAACCCCTTCTCTCCTCTTTTCTCCTCATTATCTGTCCTCTGCTTTTGCGCCTTACTTCATCCTCATCTCTTTTCACTCTTTTGCTTTTACACCCCTCCTTCCCCCTCTCTCTCTCTATCTCACCGTCTCCCTCTCCAGCCCATCAACGTCCACCGTGGTGCTGCTCTTTGCTAACTAGGCTGCCTCTCCGAGCCCACAGGTACGTCCCCTCCCCCTCCTCTACTTGGTGCTCTATTTTTAACTCCACTCTGCAGGATTCTTCCCCATGATTCTCCCGACTCACATCTCTGTCAGCACCTCTCTGCCATTCCAGCCAAGTGGAAAGAAACTGTAGACCAATACATGTTTATTAATGTATGCCCATGCTTGGTCAACTACTTTTTTGTTGGAGAAACGCTGCTTCAACTTCATTTTGAACATCTATGAGAAGTGAGTGGTGCAGCACACACTTTAAACATTAGATGCTCTTTACAGCTGTTAACCTATGCTCTTTTTTTACATCACTAGTATAGTGCGTGTTAAAAAAGTTCCTACCTTGATTTTGGGAGTCTAGCCTATAGCATGGTCCACAAGTTGGTCAAGTATCTGTATATAAAATGACCCAATACAGAATCATACTTAATATATGGAGGTACGGAGCCTGACTGAGACAGACAGGATTCATAAAAGGTGTCCTTAGATTTGTAAGCTATGCCATTGAATCCAAAAAAAAATTTGTGAGTGAAAAGCACATTAAATACAACATCACATGATTAAAAAGTTACAACAATAGTCAAAATAGTCATTTTACATGGAAAAAAGCAATGTTGCAAAGCATCCAAAAAAATTCACATTCAACTATGCACTTACTTGGTTACAACCATCAAGTTTGAAGTTAAACAGATCACGAAAAAAAAACTCTTGTTGGACTGTATAGCTGAGGTCCAGGTCCTCATGAGACTGCTCAGCTGGCTTTTCCTGCTGCACATCCTCCTGACAAGAACTTAAAGCACATAACCTCCCTCAGCAGATGAGGACCATGAACTAGATGCTCTTTGTATGCGTGTGGAAGAAGTGTGTTTACTTATAGGTTGAGTGGGTGGGCAGTTCTCTCATGTAAACTGTTGCTGGAGGCCTTCTCGCTCCTGTAGTTGTAAAGAACAGCTTTAAATGGATTGAACAGTAAATAGCCATGATTTGTACTGCAAAAAAAATATCTTGTGGATGATGCAGCTCATAGTTGCTACTTTATCTGTAATAAGAGGTTATCTGTGGGGTTTTTCTCTGTAGCGAGGCTCCTATAATAAACATGACAAGAACTACAAAGAATATATTGTGTTCAGTGTATTGGTTCCCATGGCTACATTGCTTTTCCTGTTGAAGCGTTTATGTTCAATGTGTACTTGATCAAGGTTGTCTTTGATACAAAGGGGAGGAGGGAGTATACTGAGACACAGTAGATGACAGTAATGCACATTGATGTTGGTTGCCACCCGCCAATAAATAGAACAAAGAAGAAGAAGAAGTTCATTTAGTAAAGAGATGGCGGTAATGCATCTTGACTTTAATCAAAGGAGGCACCTGCCGGTGGCCCGAGCAGAGGAGATGAAGAAAACGCAGTAGATGGCAGTAATGCACCTTGTTGTTAGTAGCCACTCACCAATAAACCGAGCAAAGATAAAGATAATTTAATAAATAGTTGCATGTTGACAAGCACTGTTTGCTTTTAATGATATCCTCTCAAGTACAGATTACATTTTAAATACCTGCCCACTTAAAAGACAAACTCCCACCAGACAACTGAGAGGGCTGGCCGTGTCTGAGGTAAACAACAGTTTGTCAGCCTTAACCACACGGTCTGACGCGATAATGATCCTTGTGTTCCCAGACGTGATACTCAGGACTAAGGACAGACCTGTCTTGCAGCATTTCTGCACGGGTTTCCTCATGCAGAACTTACACAGGTAGACAGCTGCGAGACAATCCATTTGTCAAACTCACAGTCCTTCACGGCCATGGACAGCCACTGTCAATGGGAGGCTTTGAGTTATTATCAGCCTGTACCAAAAGAAGTGTGCAGCCTGTTTTTAGCGGTAGGTTTTCAGAAGGATTTGGCACACATAGGCGCACATTAACTTCCCCTTTTCCCTGCCTGCCTCACATCACACACTCTCCATGTTCTCAGTCTTTGCTTGTCAAGCAGGCACAATCTGCAGCAGATGCAATAGGCCAAGCAGCAGCATGCTGAGATAATGTAGACCGTAACACTGCCAAGGCTGTGATGTTCCATGCAGCACTGAGACGAACAGACTTTATTTAGGTGCACTACCATGTTCTTTGGCTTAATGTCTGCAGCCCTTTCAAGGAAACTAGGAAATGCTCAGTTGGCAAAGTAAGGAGCATCACCACATCCTTACTTAATAATCCAGAGCAGGATGTTCGAGGCATATCATCCTAATTTTTTCCTATGTTGTTTCTCACTAGAGCAGAAAATTTGTCTTGGACAGTGATATTTTAGGCGAAAGTATGAGACCCAAGTAGCTGCATTAGCTGGAGCTTTACAAATTGGCTGTCCTCTATGAGCCACAAGGGTCTCTCTCTGTCTCTCATCATTCTGCTCTAATTTTGCTTCCCCCATCCCTGCTCTCACTCTGATGTCTGTTTCACACTCATCCTTATTTCCGCTCTCATTTTTTTTTATAAATAGGTGATTTAAACTCAATAGGCATTTTTTTTTCCTGGCTTTTTGTTTTTCCCGCTCGTTGCCTTTCATTTCCCATCTTCTCTTGTCTACTCCCTCCTCTGGTTTTATGGCTTCTGACAGTGGTACCCTGCAGCCGCCTTGGCCAGGTACAGCACTAGATGAAAGGTTTGCAGCCAGAGCTCTCTTTCAAAGATACCTTCTGCTGCAACTCTGCTCTCCATGGGAACTCAGTCATCCCTGCCAGGCAGATGGAGAGAAAGAGGGAAGGTTGGAAAAAGTGAGGGAGGGTGAGGGAAAGATGACCAGAGACAAACAGCAACAGAAAGTAGAGGCAGAGTTAGATCTTCGGGCTTGCTCTTACTCCAGATGTGGAAGTTGCACCTGGCCTCTGTAGCTGATCAAAGAAGCTTGACATCCATGGGTGAGCAGTGCACGGGGGGGGGTGCTTCCTCTTTCACTCGTATACATCCTCATTCTGTCTGGAGGCTCGTGGGATATGAAGTTTTTTTTAAGTGTAGATGTGTTTTCATCATCTAACATATTGGAGGCACACTAAGGTCTGAGTTCAGGTGAAGAGGTATCATCTTTAACCCTCAACAAAATCCACAGAACTCCATTTATAATGGGGAAGTGTAGATGTCTTTTTCAGCTTCGGCCCAATTATGTCAAGATTTTCATTCCTCATATATTTGCTCTCCCAAACTGCAACATATGGACCAAAGAGCAGGACAACAGAAAACTATAGAGCTAACAGTAAACAAGAAATGACTCACGTGCACCTTGTTGATTTTTAGGAATTGTGCATGGATGCCCCTTTGGCCCCTGATGTAGAAAAACCCTTGATCTGCAGCTGCACGAGTACTACATTTCTTCATATCAAACTAATCACTAAGATCTGCTGAGTCTCCAGTTTGACATACAGGGAATATGTTTCGCTACTGCTCCAGAATGAGCTAGCATGTTTTTCAACTAGTCTCAGGCTTTAGCTTCTGAACAGTTTTACAAACCATTACCAGACTTAATCAAAACGTGGCATCGTGCTTGCAAATCCAAACAGACTTTTATTAGCTTTTTGTCAGGAAACTCATTGCCTCAGAATAATTGAAATCTTTAAGCGTAAAAGAGAAATGGCGTTCGCCACCAGAATGCAAATAGTTTGTTTCTATAAAATAACCATCCTTGAAAATGTTCTCCTGTGTGATTGCAGGGAAGACAGACTTGGCTGTATGGTTTACTCACATAAATCCTATCAGAAGACAAGCTAGATAATACACTGTCGGTCCAAGCTCAGAGATTTAGCCTCTGGATGCTCCGGTGACAGAGGGGGAGGTAGCACGGGCAGTAAAACAACTGACAGTTGGTCATTACAAAAGACGCAGGTGGGCCGAAAATCAATCACGCTGAGACCAGCCTGCACTCTGACAGATGCCTGACATCTGCTTGATGAAGAGCTCTGCTGTTCCTCTGAGTGAGGAGGAGGAGGAGGAAGATAAGAAGGAGAGGGGTGTGACAGGAGAAAAAGGAGTGATGGGAGATAAAAGCATTGACGAAGACCTGCAAAGATGTGAAGGTTATAATGAACTGAGGATCAGCAGGAAAGAAGAAAGAGGAATTGAGGCTAATATTAGTGAATATATATTGGAGAAAAGTAATTGGAGAACAGCATCGAAGAAAATAATGGAAGAAAATAATGGAAGAAAAAAGATCCCAAAAAAAGTTGAAGGAAAGATAAGGGAGCTCAGACCAGGAGAACAAGGCTCCAGACATTGCAAACAGCTAAAGTAATTTCATGTGGCTACAGTTACAGTAAAAGCACTGAACAGGACTGTGTGCCACCTTTAGAGCAGCCAGAGTCTGTGTTTTGACAACACTTTTACCTAATAGGCTATTTCATGCTGTCTGCTCTGACAGTATGAGAAGGTATTTCAAGGGTGAAATGCCACTGCATTATTGGCCCACACTCAGTGACTGGAGGCACTTGGTTCTGTTTTTTTTTCTGGACTCATTTATAAAAAAAAATTAAAAATATATATATATCAAGGGAGATTTTCTACTCTGGAATAACATCTGCATTGTAAATTCAGTCTTAAAGGTCGGCCGAAGTCCAACGAGATTCATTTCAAACCGGCTGTGCTTCGCTAACAGTTTCAAGTGAATTTATTGAGAAATAAAGAGTAAGGTTATTTATTTTATCACATCTTTGTCTGCTGCGGTTTATGTGTGAAATGAAGGGTCGGCTCTTGGTGGCATGCACCTGCATTTGTAGTCCCTTTGTCATTTTAACTATACCTGGGGTCTCTGCAGCGCAATATAAAACATGCTTACTAACTGATGCTAATGTCCTTTGTTTCACTCTGTTTCTCTTTTTTGTGTACGCCACTTTCAGCTTTTGTGTGCACGTACACTTTAAGTATGAATCCCATGCACTGTTTTATAAATGAGGTCCCATGACTTCTCACGTGTTAGAAAATATTTTTCTGAGGAGTTTACTGTCTCATTAGCTATTTTTAAGTCTT